CCAAGGAAAAAGATTTGTCAATCTGTGTTTTCTGTATTTTCTGTGTGTTAGAGTTATGGACTTTAGTTATAGAAGATTCTCCCAAACTCAATCCAATTAGTTCAATATACCTAAATATAGTTCAAGATCATATCACTGAACATTAATCTTATGTTGACAAAGTGGGAAAACATTGAGTGGGAATTAACCATCCAAAGTGGGTAAGCATATATTTGTTATTTATGTATATAGAGAGAGGGAGAGTCAAATTCTAAGAAATTTGGTGGGATTAAAAAAAATTGAGGTGTTTTCTTTATTCATAGTTGTATTTTGAGGTATTTTGTTTTGATGTATCCTTGCCTTCTGGTTCTGGTTTCCCTGCTCGAATGATATTTCTTCAACTCGTTGGTATTAAGATGTAACTGAGTGAAAATTTTCAAAAAGCAACTATAATTCGAAAAGAATGTATCTTTATGTTTAAGAACTTGTTTTAGTGTTTTAGTTCTAGTTGAAAGAAAACTCTGGTTTATAGGTTGGGTTCTTTGTAGATCGATCCTCGTGCAATATATTTATGGACTGTGGCCCCTGTGGTTGCTCTGGATCACTGATAAAGGTGTGCAAAATTAGAAATTTCAAAGTTAGAAATTTAAGATCTTTTTGGCAATAATCATTTTAAAATTTGTTTCCAAAGAACAGAATTGAAGACCTGGAAATTCTATAGCAATTTTCTGTTTCCTTTGGTTACATATTTAGCTGTTTCTTTGAATATATTTCATACACTAAGTTCTTAGAATATATGTACTACTATTTTCTTCATTGTTTAGTTAACTACGAGGTCAAATTGGTGATTATTCTTTGAAGAAAAAGAAGCTTGGAATAATGCAACGACAGAGGGAAAGAGGGGAAAAAGTTGTTTGCAGAATATGTTTCTAGACTTCTTTAGAATAGAAAATCACCAAGTTGATGATGTGATTATCCATTACTAACTTCTTGGTATTATTCCTTTTTTTTTAATTGGAAGAGCTTTGTCCCTTACTTTTTCTGTTCTTGTTAATACCATCTAACGGTTGTTTTGTGCAATAAAAACTTTCAAACTCTTTGACCGTGGGTAGCTTTTGCTGTAAAAAAGTTAGCTTGTTATAGGTGGGTCCATGAAGAGGGGCGGATGCTTGTTCATTAGAAGTTTAGGTAACTGATATAAATGGGCTGAGATATGTATGAAAAGTTTCTGTCACCCTTTGATTTTTTTCCCCCTTTTCTGTTTCTTTTCTGTATGACTTTCCATTTTATTTTATTTTATTTTTCATTTGGCTTGGGAAATATAGCAATTTTCTGGCCACTGCCTCATACTGGATCTTTGAACTCCGTGATCCAATCTCTTGTTAGAACTTCTCTCTATGATGCTGCAGGAAAAGCTTTTTACAAGTAAAAATCGAACCGAGGCTTCACTTGGGAAAAAGTTGAAGATTGATATGCTTCCTGAGATTGAGAAGGTTCACAAGGTACTCGGTTTGTCTGTTTATCAGGATATCTGGTCTTCCTAATCAGAATGTCTTATTTTAATTTTATTCTCAGATCTTTGCTTAGGTCGCCCGTTATTGCATATAACCAACAACCTTGCTAAGTGCTGCACTAATTTCTTTTAACAGAGAAAAGAAAGGTTGCTGAAAAAACAGCATAGGCAAGCTCTCCTCTTGGATAATTTTGCACTTGTAGATGGGCTTGCTCCAGGGCGCTCGCTTCGTGACAGAAAACCTGTCACATATACTTTTGGTATGCAAAATTTAGTTTGATCTTTGTATCTTTGTATCTTTGTTCTTTCCTTTTGCTTGTAGCTTTTTGTGGGGTTTCTTACAAATTTAGCTGCATTTTCATTTTCAATTAAAGAAAAAAACTCAACTGATACGTGTTGTCAGTGTTCAGTTTCTAAGAACTGAAGAAACAAAATCAAGTTCGGAAACATATTTCCTTCATTTTTTCCCCATTTCTTTGAAGTTGAACA